AGTGTTATAGGGCCTGAGAGTTTAAATAGGTAATCTTCAAATAGATTTCAGGTATAGCAGCTAGTGTAGAACCTTCGAGCAAACTACTTAAATTAGACAATCTAAAGTTGTATGTGTGGCTAGTTATACTCTTACAATATGTATTATTTACTCACTATCAATACCAATAAAAAATTCGGCCGATAGCATTTGTATAAAGTAAAAAAAAAAAAAAAAAAAAAAAAAAAAGTTAATTGATAATCTGTATAACAATAGAACAAATTTATTAGTTAATAATAGGGCAAATTTGCCGATTTACATAGTAAAAATAAAAAAAATAAAAATTTTTAAGATATAAGTAACACATGCTTATCTTTACTTTAATTGTACACAAGTCTGCTCAATCTATATTTCAATAGCCAAGGAACTTACTAATTTGTTTTTATTTAAATTTTTATAAGAACGAATATGACTTGTATATGTAGGCTAGTTGGATTCTAGTATTAAAAACTAATATTAATTGGTTAGTATAATATGCATTTCTCAGTAGCAAATTTTAAAATTTCATGCAAATACACTGATTAACAACTTCAAGTATCTGCTATTGAATGTTTATTAGGGTGGTGAGTTTGAACTACCAATTGCTACATGGTTTCATACAAAATTTTTAAACGAGCAAAATCAAGAAGGTTTGAAAATATTGGATAAAGAAAATCTACAAATTTAATTTTCAAGGCAACTTTATACTAATATGCAAAGTATGTTGAATGGTATACAGTTAGAAATTAGAGGTGTGGGACATCTGTATGAATATTTTTTTCTATCAGTAATAGAGGGTTAAAGCGTTAGAAGGATTATATATTTAGAATTTCTAGAGATCAAAGATTAGCTACAAGCAAATCTTGAAAGAATTTATCATATTCGTATTCTATACTAAAATATTTAGTATACTTGATTTATATTTTAGGTTTTCTTTTATGCTTGAGCTATTATCTCTGCTGCATTTTGATGATGTTGACTGGCATAATGAGAGATCCAATTTTGTATAGTTTCTAATTTTGGTACTTCATTTTTTTCAACTATTCTATTTTCTACGCATTGTCTTAACTAGGTAAGTATACTTTTAGGGTATGTCTTTTACTTTTGTTAACATTACCCTCTAAAAAATATCTCTCTAGAAGGTTCTATACTTTTTTTGAAATCCGTTTTCCGCATCCCTTCTTTCCATATTTTTGTGAAGATTTTAGTATCTATCTAGAAGCCAATAGCCATAAAAAAAATTGAGAACTATAAAATGTTAATCAGTTTATTATTGGTCATACAAATTAGCAATTGTATACCTTGAATTCAAAATTGTTTTATTTTCAGCACCTTGTATTTTTTCAATAGGGGTTTTTTTTTCAGAGTTTTATTTTGCACATTTATTACTTGAGAACTACTATTCTTGCATTGTTAGTATTGATTTTTTCTCTAGGTGAAAACATAATTTGAATCTTTTGTAACTTTTTTTTGTCAATATAATGAACAAACAATATATT